AAGAACACACAATACAGCTAGCACATACATATACATATACATATACATTACTACAGTTATGTGAGCCACTTAACGGGGGCATGGCACTACCTGTCATGACCCGTTTTGTATCCAGAATCTCCTTAAATGGGGAGCGTATGAGTTTGTGTATAGATCTATACTGGATTGACTATCCTACACCTTGCTGCTCGCTTTACAGTGGGACTTGCAAGTCTACGGGTGCCAAAACGTCATTCTTAAGACGTTTTACATCGTCGGTTTTCTATGATTCGGTAGCAGGGTACAGGCCGATCACATGGTAATTTAAATAATAATGGTTTTAAGGTAGTTAGTACAGCAGTAGTTCTTAATACAACACTACAGTACTATTTCATTTTCCCATTACATTCACTTTGTGAACATTCACACAATGCACTGTAATGTAAAAACTATATTTTGGTTAATGATAGTCAGATTTGGGAAAAATACATGCTCTTACAAGAGACACACACACAGACACTAGATGCCTTGGTAGAAGGCTACTTTTAGTAGGAATCATAGGGTTTTCTAGGAGAGTTCAAAACGTCTTACCAAAACGTCTTACAAAACATCTTACAAATACTTTCGTACAAATACAGACATTAATATACTTATGATCTCACCAGCTTTAAAGCTGATAAACTCTTTCAAAATAACTTGTATTCTCAGGTCACTAGTAGACAGGTACCGGAGCCACGTTTTGAGAAGATGGAGCTCGTTCAAGACTCATCTTTCTTTTGGAATTATATTTTGGTGTCTATCAAATTTGGAAAGACATACTTGTATTAAAATTATATTATTAATGCAATGGATGATGTTGTTGCTTGTTTACTACTATTCATTGTGGTGATACTGTACATGACGTCCTCCGCCCCAGAACCTTTCCGCCGTTCTTGGTTTTGGGGTGTGACATCTATCCATTTTGTATGTTTCTTTTATTGGTAGGAAATGGGTGGATTTAGTCAACCAATCGACAATCATCCAAATGACATCCCGTCCGTCAGCCGATTTAGGCAATTTGGTTATAAAATCCATCGTTATTCGTTCCCATTTCCACTCGGGTATCACTGGTTGTTGTAATAGTCATGTGGGCTTCTGATATTCTACCTTAACCTTTGCACAAGTCAGGCACTTGCTCACATAGGTAGCAATCTCCGCTTTCATGTTCGGCCACCAATAATGTAGTTTGATATCCAGGTACATCTTATCATAACCTGGATGGATGGAGTATCGTGTCTTGTGCGCTTCATTCATGACTACGTCCCTGAACCCTCCAAATTTTGGGATCCAGATTCGATTCATGAAATAGTGTGCTCCGTCCTCCTTGATGACGAGATTCTTGTCCATTCCACGCAAAGCTTCGTTTGCAGCGTTCTCCGGCTTCAGGGCTTCTAGCTGAGCCTCTTTGATTTGTGAAGACAAGTGGGAATGGACGGTCATTGTCAGTGTTTTTACTCGGCGCCCTGAGTATTCCTTTCTGCTTAAGGCATTGGCCACCATGTTAGCTTTTCGGGGATGGTACTTGATCTCACATTCGTAGTCGTTGAGCAGCTCGACCCATCTTCACAGCCTCATGTTTTATTCCTTTTTATTTAGAATGTGTTGGAGGCTTTTGTGGTCTGTGTAAACTGTGCACTTTGTCCCATAGAGATAGTGCCTCCAAAATTTTAAAGCAAAGACCACCACTCCTAGCTCGGGATCGTGGGTAGTATAACTCACCTCGTGGTTTTTCAGTTGCATGGACGCGTAGGCAATCACCTTTCCACGCTGTATTAGCACACAGCCTAAACCATGGTTGGAAACGTCACAATACACTACAAAATCTTCTGTTCCCTCTGGAAGCGTCAAGACCGTAGCACTGTAGAGGACCTGCTTCAGAGTTTGGAAATCATCTTCTTGTTTTTCATCCCAGTTGAAGGGTACGCCTTTTTGGGTGAGGGCGGTGAGAGGCTTGGCGATTCTGGAAAAATTCTAAATGAACCTTCTGTAATAACCAACAAGGCCCAAGAATTGCCTGATCTCCGTTGGCGTCTTTGGGGTTGACCAGTCCTCAATAGCCTTGATCTTAGAAGGGTCCACATGTATCCCTTCTTCGCTGACTACGTGCCCCAAGAAATCCACCCTGCGAATCCAAAACTCGCATTTGGAAAATTTTGCGTACATCTTCTCTGCCCTTAGAGTTTCCAAGACCCGCCTTAGATGTTGACTGTGCTCTTCCTTGCTTCGTGAATAAACGAGTATGTGATCGATGAAGACGATTACAAAGTTTTCAAGGAATGGTCGGCAGACTCGGTTCATGAGGTCCATAAATGTTGCAGGTGCATTTGTCAGACCGAAGCGCATTACCATGAACTCGAAATGTCCGTAGCGGGTTAGGAAGGCAGTTTTGGGGATATCTTCTTCTCGGACCCGTAGTTTGTGATATTCGGACCGTAGATCTATTTTGGAAAAGTAACTGGCTCCTTGAAGCTGGTCGAATAGATCGTCAATCCGAGAGAGAGGGTATCGGTTCTTGATAGTGAGTTTGTTTAACTCTCGATAGTCGATGCACATTCTGAAAGATCCGTCCTTCTTCTTGACAAACAAGATCGGAGCTCCCCAGGGTGAGAAGTTTGGCCTTATAAACCCTTTGTCGAGGATTTCGCTTAGTTGGCTCGATAACTCCTGCATTTCCGTAGGGGCTAACCTATAGGGTGATTTGGCAATTGATGTGGCTCCAGGTATCAAGTCAATTCGAAATTCGACCTGTCTCTCGGGAGGTATTCCTGGGAGGTCTTCCGGGAATACGTCTTGGAAGTCGCGCACATCTGGAATATTGTTAGTGTTCTTTTCCCCTTTCTGTTTGTCCACCACGTGGGCTAGAAAGCCATGATTTTTCTTGTGCAAGCAATTTTGTGCCTTGATGCACGAGATAAGACGAAGATTTACACCAGGTTTTATCGCCGTAAATGATTAGAGTTTCGTTGGTGGGTAGGTGAAGGTGAACGGCCTTCTCGCGTCACATAATATCGGCATGGTGGGGGCTGAACCAGTCCATACTGATTATCACATCAAAACTTCGAATATTAACCGGCATTAAGTCGATTGAAAATGAGTGGTTATTTAGTGTTAACGTGCATCCTACGTAAATGTCTTTGGTTTTTTCAGTCTTCCCATTAGCCATCTCCACCGTGAAGGCTTCGCTTAGCTTCTGGGGTTGTTGATTTAGTAGGTGTTTTAATTTATGACTCACAAAACTTCGCTCAGCCCCACTATCGAATAAAATATATGCGTAAGTGTTGTTGAGGGGAAACGTACCAGTCACTACCGTGGGGTCTCGCACCGCCTCCCCTTGCCCCATGGTTAGTACTCTGCCTGATCCGCCCGTACCCTGGTTGTTGGCTTTGGGGAAGTTTCTCTTGAAGTGGCCAGCCTCTCCACATCCGTAACACGTGCGACTGGCCCCGACATTGTTGGATTGAGGGTTGTTTTTATGTGGCTGGGACCTGCAATATCGGGCAGTGTGCCCTTTTCTATTGCAGTTTGTCCATTGAAAGTCCTTTCATGCCCCGACATGATGGAAACTACACTTGTCACACTTCGGGTGGGAACCTGCGTAGGGCCTCGCAGGTGCTGGTTTGGTTGTAGTGGTTGCAGTTGGAGTTGATGAGGTTTGAGCGGTAGCAGCGTGAACTGCTACCATTTGCTGTTTCTTAGAATATTCCTGATTTTGTCCCCCTTTTCTTTTATTCTCCCAATTTTTCTTGTTGCCTCCTTCATTTTTGGCTTCTGCCTCTATAGTCTTGGTGCCTTTCTTATTTCCCTGATCATAGAGATTCTGAGCTAGATGCTTCGCACTATCGAAAGTTTCAGGGTTTGCTGCAATCATGTTCCCCTGAATTGGAGGAGTTAACCCCCAAATGAAACGTTCAATTTTCTTTCCCTCCGAGGTTATCATCCCAGGGCATAGAAGTGCCAGCTCGCTGAACCTAGTGATATAAGCTTCAATATTTGAGTTTTGCACCGTGAGATTCCATAACTCCTGTTCTAGTTTTTGTACTTCCCCTCGGGGATAGTATTCAGCCATCAGCGTCTCCTTGAGTTCCTCCCAGGGCATGGCATAGGCAACTAAAAGTGTTAAGGCCTCAACATGGTCGTTCCACCATGATAGTGCTTGATCGAAAAACGTACAGGCTGCAAACTTCACCTTACTCTCTTCAGGGCATTCATATATTTCGAAGACTGACTCGATCGTCTCGATCCAGCGCTTCAAATTTATCACCCCCACCGGTTCTGTTGAATGTTCGGGGTTTTGCATTAGAGAAATCTTTATAAGTGCATGCTTTCGTAGGTGCTTGATTCATTCCATGATTGGAGCTTCCTGTTCCTTGACCATTTCCACCTCCATTCTTTCCATTCTGGATGTAAGCCAACGCTGCAGTGACTGCAGCCAAGACTGCTGCCTGAAAAGCAGCAGAGTTTACCACTGGCGGAGGCGGCGGTGGTGGAGGTGTGTTGTTGTTTCTATGAACGTACCTTCGAGGCATCTTCTGCCATGGAACAGAAGGTTGATGAGCAATTAATAGTTGTTTCGGCGATTCGATTTGTGCTTATAACTGAAATCATACAGTATCAAGAAATAATAAAAATAGAACTCATAGCAGATAACAACATCACAAATAAAACACACACTTGTTTCATTACTGATAAAGGTTTGGTACATGTTACGTGAAAATTTGGCCTTTATAAGGCCTACAGTACATGAGATAATAGTCAAACAGCATAACAATCCCATCGAGTAGTGTAGTCACTTAATCGATGGGCTAGCCCTACCCACACAAAGTAAAACCAAGAAGATAACATCAAATAGTATAATAATACTAACTAGTAGTGCGGTGACACTCATACGCCGAAATGACGCACAAGGAGTTCGACCATTTCACTCATTTCACGAGTGATCTCAGCTTCCTTTTGTTCTGCTCGAACCGCCCTAGCTTCGGCTGCAAAGAGTTGTTACTTGAGAGTGGCTAGTTCCTCTTCTAAGGAGCGTAGTCGGTCAGTAGGGTCCTCATGTGCTATGTGTTGGTCTGGTATTGCATCCGAAGGGTGGGGTTCGTTCGCGATTTCTCCGATGCCTTCTTCCTCATCTGACTCCTTATCAAATTTTTCCACCCTCATAGTCCATTTCTAGATATTCTTCCGATCCTACTTCTGGGTTTCCCCCTTGAATCTCTTCTGGTTCTTCATCAATCTATCCGTTGGCTACTAAGGCCTGGTAGTAGTGGTCCCTGTGCTGATACTCAGCCATGGTACCTGCGCGAGAATGGAGGTGTGAGGAGTGTGTAGAAAGTGTACGTGCGAGGGTTACATAATATCCTAAAATACTCCTATAGTATTTTAATTGTTTATGTTTGGTTCCTTATCACTTTTTGGATTTAGAGTTGGCAAGATTTAGATTCATTGCCCACCACGATCCCTCCCAAGCACATGTTGGTTGTATTTTGAATAAATATAGTTGATCAGGCTATATTTATTCCTAATACGATTACATAACTGCCTGGGTTTAACTGCGACGTTCAATTCCTCTAAAGACTTTTATAGTTTCTTATCTTGACAATACTCTAATATGCACACATAGGTATGTATTTTATTTTTGTTCAGAGTATTTTAGTCCCAATGTATTTATAGTTGCATATCTTGTATGATTAGATATGCTAGTTCACTATAAACATTGCTCTGATAACAATCTGTCACGCCCCCGAACCGGAACGGCGGAAATGTCCGGGGGCGAATGACTTCATCTTGTAATATCATAACAAGTGTATATAAATGAAACATAGAAAATCATCATCACCATACATAAAATATAACAACATACATGGTTTGCTTCATTGTATCATTCATAAATAACATCCCAAAAATTAACAAGTGTATGATGAAAACAAAGTACAGCAAATTCCCAAAAGTCCCAAGCTGCCAAACTACTTAATGAGTTCCTGAGAATACAAGTTATTTTGAAAGCGTCAACATATAAAATGCTGGTGATTTCATAAGCATGTTTATATGAAAACTTTACGTTGGTTTGAAAACTCCAGAAAATCCGATATTTTCTGTAAAAATAGTTTGTGAGTTTTGTTTCAAATCTTGTATAATAGCATTTGTATCCTTATTTTATCTTATTTGAAAAATGTATAGAGAGTGATTCCCAGAAAATCTTGTATTTTCTGGGTCAGGAGAAATCGTGGTCTTAAGCCCAAGACCGGAATGAGGTGGATAGTACAAATAATCAACACAGTGTTTATACTTTGCAAAACTGATTGGTAAGTATATTCAACGTAAAACTTATAATATTTTGGTTACTCTCTATGTGAGTCGTTATAACCATACTATTATGACAGAGTGCCTATCTTGACGTTCTTCAGGCATCGATTTCTGAGAAGACATTTGTCACCCTAGACTGGCCTGTCTAGCTGTAGCGAGCAGCTCGCGTGTGGGGTGTCAACCACGTATAGATTTATATATAAATTCTCGTTCTCCCTCCAGGAGACTCTGGTTATAACTACAGGGCTTACGGTGTACACTAAGGTAGGTAATGTGAAGGTGCGTCTCACAAGAGCCTTAACGAAATTTCTACGCGAATAGTGTGTTTCATTATTTCAGCGTTAAAATAATGTTACGAGTGTATATTTTTTACTATAACTCATAAATAGTAAAAATGTAATCATTTTTATCGAGAGTGTCGGAATAGTTCGTTGTTTCATCGTTGTTATCAAAATAGTCGATTGTTAACGATAAGTTCACAAGAGGCCCAATTTACATAAAATTGGTGCTAAGGACCAATTAACATAAAAAGTGGCATATAAGGCCCAATTAGGATAGAAGGGCCATATAAGGCCCAATTTTTGGTCCACATTGTTATAGGTGGCCCATTTTACTAATTGCTACAATTTTGGCCCATTTTATATATAAAGTCATTTTTGGCCCAAGTTTGTTAAATAGTTTATTTTTGGCCCATTGTAAATGAAAATGTCATAAAAAGCTCATTTTTACCAAAAATGACCATTTTAGCCCATAAATATCGAAATTGACAATAAAAGCCTATTTTATGAAAAATGACACTTTTAGCCCAATAAAACTGTGAATGTCAAATAAAGCCCATTTTTATCAAAAATGACACTTTTGGCCTAATAAAACCGTGACTGTTAAATAAAGCCCATTTTTATCAAAAATGACACTTTTGGCCCAATAAAACTGTGAATGTCATAAGAGGCTCACTTTTACTCTATTGACAAATATGGCCCCTTTATATGTTTTCTTTAGTTTTATAGTAAATATTCAAGCTTACTTAGCATTTTTAACCAAACATAATAAGTTATATAATGTAAGTTATTCCAACAACTTCAAGGTTTGAGTAAATCTCGAAATCTTTGGGGCTTTTAGCATAATATCACACATATTAACACATATATCATACAAACATACACATGCAAGCATAAATACTAAGATTTAACATACTAAGATTTCGGCCTAGATAGCTTTCTTGAGGAGAGTTTCGAAGTTGGGATGGTTCTAAGAAGCTTGAACACGAAATGAAGTTGTATAAGGAAGAGTTCTTAGTGTAACATGGAATTAAATACTTGAAATTTATGTAAATTACCAAATATGTAAAGCTTGAAGTGAAATTCTTGTTGCATACACCCAAAACCCACGGTTTTTGGAGCAAGAAGTGAAGAGAGTATTTGAAGGTTAGAGAGGAAGGAAGATGTGTGTGTGAAGTTTGAAATGAATGGGAGGGTGAATGAGGGAGTATCGGCCGATAATGAAGAAGGGTGAGAGAGAGAGAGAGACTTGTCTTGATACATGGTGTGCAAAGTAGCTTCCCTAGATACATTGAGGGTAAGGTGCTTGGATATCCTCCATGTAATTATGAGGTGTCAAGCAAAAGTCAACCCATCATTTGTTCTTTATATATATATATATATATATATATATATATATATATATATATATATAGGGGCCGACCGGATTTGGAGAGAGGAGAAAGAAGGAAAGTTTGGGCTTGGGTTTGAAGTGAAATCGAGAACATCATGGCCCAATTAAGATTTTTTGGCCCATGAGGGCCCACATACGAGTTTACGGCCCAAAAGGGGTAAGTGAAAGGGTTCTCGGCCCAAATAGGGCCCATTTAGTCTTAAATAATTCCTCATGGCCCAATAAGGCGCATTAGGAGGTTTACGGCCCAATACTATGTTGATGAAGAGTTTTCGCCCCAACTATGGCCCAAATAAAGGTTCTCGTCCCATAACATGGTTAACTAGGGCTTTTGGCCCAAGAGGCCCAATAAGAGAGTTTTGGTCCAATAAGAGTTTGGACCAAGAGGTTTGGGTTAAGGCTCAAAGTGAGTGATCATTGCTCATTGAGTTATATTTTGGGTTTACACGAAGAAGGTTTCGACTTAAAACAAATTCTGGATGTATAAAATTGTATTGTATTGAAATTAACTTATACTACACATAGTGTTACATAGTTACACAAAGGATGCTAGGTGTATATGGATAAGGATGCTAGTTGTACATAGTTACACAAAGGATGCTATTTGGATAGGGATTTTTGATGGTTGGGGTGTCTTCGCGATTTCTATAACCAAGTTATAGGCCGATTACACAAGTTTTTCAAATTGGATGATTTGATCGGAAATCTTTTGTGATAAAGGATACCTAAGCAAGAGAAATCTGAGGCATAGATGGGATCAAACATGTCTAATTAAAATTGTTATTAGAGCTCCCATTAATCTAGGAATTATATAGCAAGATATAATTGATAATCGATATCTACCAGGTTGAATTCAAATGAATGGGATAAAGGATACATAACAATTTATTTGTTTTGCAACTTGGATTCTAGACTTTGATAATTAATGTTTTTGGAAACTAAAAGGGTATTAATTATTGAAGGTTA